GGGAGAGACTTTAAAGACCCAATCTCATCCTTTCACAGCTGTGGCTCAAGGTCAAGCCAGCCCTCCAGGGTCACACAGCAGCAGGAATAACATCCTAGAAGGAAAGAGCATGTCGAGACCCACGTTCAGAGTCCTTTATACTATGTTCTAGATTCTTCCCATAGGAGCCGCATGTTATGGCTCAAAAATTTTCAGGTTTTCAGAAAGATACTTTTTAGGAAAAGAAATGAACACAATGAATGCCCATGTAGGCAGGAATAATCGTAGAAATACAGTTTGCTATGATTTTTTTTCTTAAGAAGCTTTAATTTTTCCACAATTGTTAAGGAAAAAAATATTCGCAGCATGTGTTTAAGTACAGGAAGGCAGACTTGACTCCTTGGCAAGGGACCACCACTGCCGTGGGGTTCTGCTATAGGGAAGAGGAATGGGGATTAACTCGGAATATAACAAGGAAAAATGGGAATCTGTAGCCAAGGACCAGGGTGGGGTAGATGGAAAATAAGAGGAGACATCAAGGGCAGGGATATTGGTTAGATCCACCCTGCAGGGTTCTTGCTGCAGGCAGTTCCGGGCAATAAGATAGGAAGGGTGGAATGGAGGAATTTTTTTTTTTTTTTTTGAGTTGGAGTTTCACTCTGCCACCTAAGCTGGAGTGCAGTGGCATAATCACAACTCACTGCAACCTTGACCTACTGGGTTCAGGTAATTCTTCCACCTCAGCCTCCCAATTACCTGGGACTACAGGTGCATACCATCACACCTGGCTAATGTTTTTATTTTTATTTTTTTAGAGATGAGGCCTCACTATCTTGCCTAGCTGGTCTTCAACTCCTAGGTTCAATCAATCTGGGGAAGTGGAATTTGATCAGCTATGAAGGGTGGAGAGTTCTCACTAACACTGGACTAAAGGGGCTCAGGCCCAAGGTCAGGCATGAGGGACTTAGGGGATCCCACCTAGAATGAGGTAAGGAAGCGTCTTGGCCATAATCAGGCCGAGAAACTGGTCGCCTGGATAGGGTAAGTCCAAAGAATCATGTGCCCGTGACTGATTCATTGTCAACAGATTGTTAACTGGTTTCTGATGTTTTCAGTCCTGCTTGGAAGCACAGATCACAGTTATGTTATGTGGAGAAATAACACTCTCTGGTGAATGACCCTGGATTTAAAGTCTCGGACGCTGTCCTCTCCCTCTGTCACCCTGCTACACATCCCACAGAGATCTCAGTCACTTTGCTTAGTTTAGGAGAAAGAAACAGGAAGAAGAGAAGTCACCCCTCTGCTAATGTCTTTTTAGACATGCCTTTTTCTTAACAAAACAATCAAATATTGCAATAAGCGTATGTTGCTTATATGATTAGAAAAAGAAGAGAAAGGAAACTATCCCCTGCCACCACCATAAAAATCACCTCAACTGTCGTATCCAAACGCCTCATGGCATCGGGTGTCAAAACCCAGCTCTGCCATTTAGTGTTGTGTGGAGTTGCTCACATTATGTCACCATAGCTCACAGAACACTGGTTTTCTTTCTCTGAAATGTGGATAATGGTGCCTGCCTCCGACACCTGCGACACTTGAAGGAACCAATTTACAGAAAGTGCTTAGCGTGGGGCCTGACATGCAGCAGTGGAAAATGAAGGCTTGTTGCCATTGGGTTGAATTTCTAGGAGGAAGGAAATGGGACCCCTATAATGGGAGCGGGCGGGTGGTTGTCAGCACCCAGTCTTAGCTGTGGGGAGGAAGCTCCAGGATCAGCCTGTCACTAGGGCTTCCAAATCCCACAAGGGTATTCACCATCAGTTATGCCTGTAATTGTTTTTAGGAAACAAAACGGCATTTATCACTATGCTTTAAAGACAGCAGACCCAGTCCAATGCTGTGTGATAAAAAACCACCAATTAACCTACCACAACATGCCAGAGCAAGCCACTGTTCCATCTCTCAAGGCCCTAGCTTCTCCTTTTTTTTTTTTTTGAGTTGGAGTCTCACTCTGTTGCCCAGACTGGAGTGCAGTAGCACGCTTCTGGCCACCACAGCCTTGACCTGCTGGGTTCCGGCAATCCTTCCACCTCACCCTTCCACGTAGCCGGAACTACAGGCATGCACTACCACACGCCAGGCTAATTTTTGATTTATTGTAGAGATGAGGTCTCACCAAGTTGTACAGGTGGGTCTCGAACCCGTGAGCTCAGGCACTTGCCTCAGCCTCCCAAAGTGCTGGGATTACAGGCTGAGCCACCAAGCCTGGCTTAGCTTCTCTTCTTAAGACAGGATTCAGCCAAGTGCAGTAGCTCACGCCTATAATCCCAGCACTTTGGGAGGTGAGAGGATTATCTGAGTCCACAGGTTCACAACCAGCCTGGGCAACTTGGCAGGACTTCATCTCTACAATAAATCAAAAAATGTGCTGGGTGTGGTGGTGCGTGCCTGTAGTTCCAGCTACTTGGAAGGCTGATGTGGAAGGATCGCCTGAGTAGATCGAG